CAGAACGAGGGTAGTTGGCCGAACCGGTCATTCAGAGGTGGGCACCTTAGCAGAATAGGTTCCCACCCCATTTCACGGTCACAGAAGACACTTCGTCAGAACGATAAGGCTTTTCTCTAATTTTCATGAAGGACTATGACCAACACCAGACGCGAGAGCTCGACTGACCGCGGCTCTCCATTCCGAGCTTTGGCGTGAAGCATCGATAGAACACTACGACTATGCGGAGTGATTCGTCAGACCTCGGGTCGACCTGAACAGCTTCTCAGCTGCCGAGTTCGTGCTGAAATGACCTTTCCTAGCTGCTGTGATGGCGGATGCTCTGTGAGGGAAGAGTTTCTTATACAGGAACACTAATACCTATGTACACCACCATAGAGTTGCGCGTATGACTGGGCACACTTCTTCGCTTGTGACCAGCGAGTCAATAATCCCTTGTTGTGTATCAGCGGCTGACTCTTGTCCGGTGTACTTCCGTCTCAAGGCGTCCTGAGGTTCCGCATCGATCATGCATTGGAACCAGCGCTAGGGAACATGGACAGCCATAGGTCCCCGAGTGGCGGCACCTTGCGAGCTCCCTCAATACAAGCAAGGAAGTACTCCTCAAGCTCAGCTCGGCGAACATGTCGACGGTTGGCTATTTCCTGCAACTCCTCGTTGGTGCGTCTCAAGCCCTCGAGCTCCTTCTCTAACTCTTTGGTCTTAGTGAGATATTCCTCCTCTAGAGGGGATACTAACGAGATTAACGCTGCTCATCGTGTACGGAATGCCCTTTAGACCCACGCGCCACATCAACCATCGGGCCAACGCCTCCCATAGCAGTGACGTTCTGGAGTCGTCTATCAGCACCTGTCCACAGATCGCCCTTCCGAACTGCAGTATGATCTCATGATATATATGATTCCTTAGAGCAGTGGGGTCTCACCCGTTTTACGCGAAGTGGCGTAAAACTCGGCAAAGAACGCGATATTCGCGGTGACATGCAGTAGTCGTGAAATATGTTTTTCACTAGTGTTTTTCATAGCACGGATAAAACTCCCGTTGGAATATTTGTTTGCTTTCCTCAGGAGAGCTCAAGAGTTTCCTCACTAATCATACAAGTTTACACACGAATTCGGGAAGAAGTGTTCAGAAACCGATCAAAATTTCCTCAGAATTTTTTCAAATTGTCACCATGTGCATAATTTCCCATAGCGGAACCATACCTAGAGCGTCGCCCAGATCGGGCGTGGCATTTCCGCGGGGGCCTGTCGCTCTCGTCCTCTCCAGCATCGCCCTGAGGACCTGAGCACCGGCGCGATGTACCTACGTTGAATTCTCTCAACCTTAGTCTGTCTCTTAGAGGCCTTCATCTGGTCCTCCAAATACCTCCTTTCTTCACGCATAGTATTCAAACGCGTTTTCCAAGTACCAACCTAACCACACCGATTGCCACGACAGGCAAAAAAGGCGAGCGGGTCATCACCTCCTTGTGGTAGTCTTTAGAAAGAGCTTCCAATCTGAGTGCTTCAGACATGAACCATTTGAGCTCTCCCTCAAGTTCCTTCACCCTCTTGTCTCGACGCACTTTATCATCCTCCGTCTCTGCCTTCAATTTCCATTCTCGGAAATTCTGCTGAACGGTTGACCTACCATCGCAATCGGATTGAGCGTCTCCAGTACGGCTACATATGTGATTTATAAGACAGCATGAAGTCATGCTCGTGCTTGTCTATCAACTGCGCGACTTTCTCTGGCAGTGTTTCGGCCAATTTATTCAGTTGTTCAAAGAGGCCCAGTACTGGCAAGCATGCTATATCGGCGGGCAAGTGAACTCCTACCCCTGGGGCCTGCAACCGGAATGCTCGCAAGGACTGAGGTCATATTCTCAATCGCTGGAGCCTCTTGCTGGTCATCATCGCCTTGCGACTCCCGGCGCTCCCTCTCAAGGTTAACGCCAGTCAAGAAGGCAGAGGAGTCGTCGGCATCTTCCACGGGCACGTTCGAGCTGCTACTGTCTCCAACGACTCGCTCGGTGGCCTCGGATGGCGGGGAATCGTCGGCGGGCGGAATCTCTTGGTCCATAGTCAGAATCGAGGGAGCTAGGCTGAACAGAGTGCTCATGCATTTCAACTTGGTGCTGCCCAGCAACGGTAACGAAGACGGTGTTGCTGGAAAAGAGAGACAGGGAAGTGTAAGCAAGATGCTCCGCATCACAAGGTCTCAGTCAACAACCCCAGTCGGTGTCTTTAACATCACGAGGAAAGAAGAGTTCATCACCCTCAAGATACTCGGCTATTGGAAGGAGTGCGGTATGCACTGTATCTACTCACGGGTATAGAGTAGGCTAAAAACACCTGCCAACACCATTTGCTTCGAAGGCCGCGCTGTGGGCCGTCGGGCTAAATAAAGATGCTCCTTGTTCCAGTAGCTCAGCATCATGAATACCCTACATGAAATGAGCTGCTAGAGTGAGCAACACAACGTGCATGAAATAGTTAGTTCGAAGTATGCTTAGAAGCAGGAGCTCACTCGAGAGCGATTGGTGTTTCAAGATGAAAAAAGTACTCCTACCTGGCTGTATTCATTATTGACACCCTTGAATTCGTACTTCGTCCCGACACGAGGCTTGTGCGTTGTTCGGAACCTGAAGTATCCCGAGTATGCGGCGCAACAACTAGAGACATTCAGTAGGAGCTGCTTCTCCTCTCAGGAGCAGAACCGGCCTTACTTTGGCCGCATCAGATCCGTTCGCTGAGCGAACTTCCGGAATGCCCGTTGGATGAGCGTAATGGCGTGAGTGATGTCATCATCTCTCAATACGAGATTAGGATGAGGCGAATACCCACCCTGGCCCGCTGGTCGGGGAGGATGCTCCCCGGTGAACACCAAGGGAGGCAGGTCTCGCTTCCCTTCACAAGATTTGGGTCGAGCTCCGCTGTTGAAAATGAAGGGAGGTAGGTTTTGCGAACTCCTACTATGTAGACCTAGCCCATCCGATTGATCTCGCGTTTGAGACAGCGGAGCACGAAGGGCGCTACGGGTCGTCGTCAGTGGTGCACCCAAGGAGACGGTGGGCGAAGCGTTTGTCGTAGAATTGCTGTGCATACGAGTCCTCGAACCTTCCTTTCCTGACAGCTGTTCACAAGCCTCAGTGAGGGCCTGTACGATATCGGCATGAGGAGGAAGATGCTCCACGGCATGCTGAGGATAACAGGCCACGAGGAGCTCGGCACTTGTAGTATTATGCTGACCTACACGAAGACCCCTCCGGTAGGCAGCCAAGGCTTCTCTCCTCCTGTTGAGATGTTCCAGTTGAGCACCAACACTGTGCGTGGCTGTCGCCGTGGTGGTGAGTAAAACGATTTGCTCATCCTTCGATCGACGAGCCCCGCTGTGAGCGCGTCTGAAATGATCCGCGTTCTCAGGACAATGTGGGCGCTTTATCGTTCATGTATGCGTAAAAGCGACAGCGCCTGTAGAGTGTGTGAACAATCCTACAGTGCATTGAGGAGTTTCAAGGCCCCCTGGGCATGTCGCAGAGCTTGGTGATATCTTCCCAAGCTGCTAAGTACCGAGGAGATGTTCAAATGTGTCCCCGCCACAGCTAAATCAGCAGCCGGGCCCTGGGAGGCCATCTCTAGGCGTAAAGCGTCGACCAAACATCTGAGCGCGAGCCACTAGCACTTATAAGAAGTCGACAGTGATAGAGGACTTCATGGCCGTATGAGGCTTGTTGGTTGCCCTATAGTAAGATGCCTTGTTGTTCAAGGTCGCAGCCTGTAAGCTCTTGTCAGCCACAGTGATTGCGAGACTCTCCGCCTCTTCCAAATGATCGAGGCAGGACGCCAGGAATCCCTCCTGGAGTCTGCGAATGCCCTGCTGGTTCAAAATGGCGATCTGAAACCAAGCCTCCCAGCAAGCCGAGCGGTGGATCGTAGTGAACCCAGTGTGAATCAACTAGATTGACATCGCCCTCGTCACCTGCTCGCATGCAAGACCTCCTGTTCTGTTTTCACCCGCAGGTCGGTAGTTGGGAGGATGCCCAAGACTACGGCTCATTAAGCGATGCGAAGCGGTCAGTGACAGAATGCAATGGAGCTAGCAACCGTTAAAGGCAGATTCAAGTTATTAGGATTCGCACAACGACTAGCCTATACTGTAAAAAGAGCAATCATGCTTCGAGGCCACAAGGTGACCGTCGGCGCTGCAGAATGTTGGTGAAGTCATTCAATCGAATATACTAGGGTCAATCCCGAATTCCTTGTCAACTTCTTCTTCACTCATATTCCCCCGCGACGCGATGAACCTTAGCGAATCAGTCGTAGATGCTGCTTCAGTGGATTGTGGACACGTACTGCCTCACAGTACTGATATTGTCAGTCCATATATCTACGAGATCCCGGGATCGCCGCATCTCCTCAACTAAAAAGAGGTATGTCGGCCACCAACATATTGAGTTCTCGAATTCACTCTGCTGCTTGATCTTGTTCGGGTCGGCCGCCTCGAGCTCTTCCAAATTCGCGGCCAGTTTGCGTCGCTTCCCCTCGAGCTCTTCGAATTCCGCTCGCATTGCCAAGGACTTCTCCTAAGAAACGATTTCAAGCCATCAGTATCATTCATAGTCGATACCATATATGTCTAGTAGGTACGATGTCATAATGTGGGAGTTGCATCACTCCAGCACGTATATTCTTTGTACATATATGTACGGCATAGTACTAATATATGATATCAGTGGGTACGTATGAAATTGTACCACCACAATACTCATGATACCGTATCATAGTGAATGATATACATTATAAAGGATGTATTCATATTATGATGAATAATGATACATTAATATGAATACCCGTGAGCCACCAACTGCCAGCTCACTGGAGATGGCCACATAGTGTCTTCACTGACCTGCGTAACACCGCTGGCCTCAAGTGCCGCAACGATATCCTCTTTGCGGCTTTCCGCCTCTGCCAGAGCCTCCTCCGATGCCTGTAGAGATGCTCGACCCTTCTCCAGTTTGGTGAGGAGCCCCGCCTTCTGACTCGACGGCAGAGCCCAGTAACTAGGCAAGGACGATTGAAACAACACTGTGGATGTAATGATAGCGAAGGTGACATCAATACAGTAGTGACAAATAAAATAGATGACAATATAGCGTTGACAATACCCGGGATGACGAGAAACCTCAACTACACGGAGCCTCATACCCACCAAGTGATGTAGAAAAAAGACTCATTGATACCATCTCTGCATCTTCCCGTGACAACAACAACGTACATGTTCTGTGAGCCCACCTTTTCCATGTTCACCAAACGGTCTCCATCGACCAAATGCTGGACGACTTCCTTCACTGATTGCGGTACAATACCGCATCTGAACTCAACTTCTCAACAATTCCGTAGTCAGTTTTCGAGGCCCTACTTTTTGGCTATCTTTTCAATCTCCTTGAAGTTGTAGAAACTCTGGTCGGACATCAGAGCCTCGTGAAGCTTCGCCTTCTTCTCGTCCAGACTCATACCCTTGGCTCGCTTAGGCATGCTACTTGTGGTTACTCGGTGTGGGAGAAAACTGGCGACCCCGGAGAAAAGACGTGCCGGCCTGGCTGATGCCTCTACTCACATCCTACTTCCTCGCCGTGGAGGTACCAAACGAACATGTTAATTGACCAACAACCTCTCAGTAGAAAGGATGACGGAAACAGTAGTCAGAGATAATAGTCATGAATTAGCAATATTAGAGCGGCCAGAGCATGCCGCGCATACTCAAGAATGAGCCAGGTGTCTGTCAGTAACCGGTGCTTGAGTTCAGTCGTCACTGTCAGACGCTCAGACCTGAAGGATCTCTCGATCGCCTCAGCTGTGGCCTTCTTGGTAGCCGCTGTTGGAATGCCGTGGCCCGTCGATTCCGAGGAGCTGCTTCGAACTAGGAATGAGGATATCGGTCATACGGGTTGGCTGTAGTGCTACCTGCATACGAAAAAAGGACGCGAAGTCCACAAGAGACCACTGTGTGCAACACCCCCAGATCTCTGAGCTCTCTAACGCAGCGAGCGGCCGGGAACGCAAGCGTCGTGCTCATTGTTGACCTAGTAGCACTAGTCGAAGACGGTAAGCTCTACTGAATAGTAGAGAATGAACAGCGGCAGGCCTATTTCGCGAGGCCCAGTTGAGTATTGATCCTACGTACTTGATCTCCAATACCTGTCACAAGGCGGTAACTCTTATCTCATTTATTGACCACCCCCTCCAACTGATGCGATTTGAGCCTGACCATCTCCCTGCCTCGATGGAACCACAGCGTGCCGACACAGCACTACAGCAGGTGAAACATCTATACTGCCAAAGCCTCGACCTTGCACCACACAGAGCCACTCAACACCCTCTAGTAGACAGTGAATGGAAGATACTGCGTTGCTCAGTGTACAAAGACAGTGGTCATCCCTTAGCTCCTATAATCTCGCGTAGGGGGACTATACGTCCCTTTGGGAGCTTCGCTACAACAGTGCCGTGAAGGAGGCTACACTCTACTCGAATTGAACCTGAGCATGTTCATAGTCCTTCTCGTCAAACACCAAGCTTGCCTCCTATAAGATAGTGATGGCCTCCAGCGGCTCGGCCGTCTGACGTCCGCTCAACAGAAGGAACAGCAACGCCTCCCCCACGAAGGGACTCCACCAACGCCCGCACGGCCTCGTCAACCTGTCGGTAAACTATCGGAAATCAACAACAGTAGCAGCATCGCACTTACTGGATCGGCTGGCTTCATAGAACAATGAGACGCAGGGGTTGCTGGCTGCGACTTCGACCAGTTGCGATGACTGAACCTTCCAATGAGGAGTCCGTGAGGGGATTGCTGAAGCACCAGAACTCCCTAACAAGCTAGCCACCCAGAGACGTCACTTCCCGGTTCTTCCTCGAGTGCTTGGTCTTAATGACCGTCCTTATATGAGCATTCTCCTCAGCACTGATGATGCCGTCGCTAAGGATGCTGTCAAACTCATCCGGTATGAGCACGGAAGGCGCCGAATCATTAAGGCTGCTGTGCACCCCAGAAGTGCGGCCTCCTTCAACCTGCTGCTTCAAAGGGATACCGGCCAGCTACTGTGTATATCAGACCTACCCCGCATTTGTCCTCTGTGGATGATGGCCACCCATTGGGTGTATCAGTAACAGCATAGTACCCCGAGAGGCCAGAGAAGGGGTCCACACCTGGCCAACCGCTCGGGTGAGACCAGGCGACCCTCCCCCCCACCTACCAAAGCGGAGATTGAACCTCTGCGATATGCTCTGCAAATGGCGCTTGGCAACCTCCAGCTCCCTTCCTGTTGAAGTCAATAACCTCTTCTGACACAACGTGTATCCGCCCACTAGGGAGGATCACTGACCTTATCCAGGAGATCTTGGTTGAGAGCGAGCAGCAATGCATCCTTCTCGGCCATCGCGGCCTCAGCTGCCCGTAGTCGGCCCTCCAAAGCCTGTGATGATGACAAAGCGATCTCCCTACCAAAGCAATGGGGTCTTACTTGTATTTGCTTGTCACGGTTGGCTACAGCACTTCTTATCTGTTGCTTGTATCGTTCTTCCAAGTTCACCATGTCCTGACTATTAACGCTCTCTACAGTGGCGGCAGAGTACGTATGAGAGGCTGTGCCTGACAGCACACACACTATGCTTACTCTATGCGTAAATCATCCATCTAGGGTTCCCATAGCGTGTCATTGCGTCGACAATAACCTCACTATATGAAGCACGCTTTCTTGGATCCATCGTTATGCGCCGACTGGCTGTTGGCTCCAGAGACTTCCTTTTCTCCTTCAGAGAAGTCTCATGCGTACGTACCTCGCCGTAACTACTGTATTGTGTAGAATGAGCCATGGCACTCCCAAGCTCACTTCAGCATTAAAGGCTTCTATCGAGAGGGACTTATTTGAGTACATCAGTCGACTGAGATTTGCTGATGTACTCCGAGGTGGCCTTCTCTCCATCGTGCTGCCTATGGACATTTCTCTTATGGACGCTTCAAAGCTGCTCCACAGCACGTGTATAGGAGTACAGCATCCATTGCTGATATCGCTCAGAGTCACCTCCCGCACGAGAGAAATCATTCACTTCTGCATATGCGATAACAACCAAACACGATCCGTATATGGACGGACGGAAGGGGAAGAATAAAAAGGATAAAGAGACGACGAGATGAAAAAGACGAGTATGCTCTACACTAGCGCCGACACACTTTGGAGCAATCGTGTGTGGAGTGATGTCACTACCTAGATGGTGCATACGCCAAGAGTTAATTAACATTTCTTCAAACGCAAAGCACATGGGATAACCACAACATAGTGATTAACTATCAACAATGTACTGTCCATAGACCATTAGTCATATAACTGATGACCTATTAGTCTATGACGGACAATCCATGATTTTCTAACTAGTTGTGAATTTTAACCAGACACGAGCAAAATTTCACATAATTCACAAACGATCATGGGAGAATACATGCCGAAGAGCAGCAGTTGAAACTGAAAACTGCTATTTCGACGTCGAAACCGTCGTGTTTAGTCTGGAGGGCTGCACTGCATAGAACATCAAGAAGAAGCTTGAAAGACAGTTGTAAATTCCGACATCCGTTCGAGTTTGACGACAGAAGACTTTCGCGACAGAAACAAGTAGAAGCGAACAGGGTCGTCGAGTAGGTCTTCGAGCCTTGGGGATCTTAATCCTTGCTGAACCGTACCAACTCCCATGAGATGTCTTCCAAACTAGATGTAGACCTCTTACCATAACTTCTTCGAATGCAGGAGCAGTGCCCTCAGCAGAGTCCGCTGCCGCAACTGGTCTGTGCTCGACATGGACAAGCTGATCTCGGCGGATCCTCTACTCCATTCCTGTCAGAATTTCGCTCTTGGGCTACTTCAGACGGCAAAGGCGACTAAATGCTACCAGAACAACGGAGTTGATCTTCGGTCGATTCTCCATATTCGTGGACGTCATTTCCGATGGACTGCTCCGGATGGTTCAAATTCAAGGTGGACCTCCCAGCTTCTCTGAATGGGGATTCACTACCCGCAATAGACTCCATTGAAACCCACTCATTCCTGATATCAGAGTTGGGAGTGTCGAAGTATTTTCTCGCTGACTAATGACCCTCACTCCCGCCAGGTCTACACAGCTTCGAGTTTTCTCGTAACATGTTGCGCAGTGTGTGCATCACCCACCTCGTGGCCTTCTCGATGATTAAAGGACCACTCCAGCTCTCGC